TGTTTCCTGAAGCAGATCTTAGATGATGACCCACCGTTGGAGCTTTTGGTCATTTGACTGAGGCCTTCCACTGGTTTACCGGTCCATCCCTTTAAAAATTATGATCATAGTTATAACCATTTTAGATTTTTGTAGTGTGGCAACTTTTCACTCTCCACGAGCTTGACGGCTTGTTCTAGAGTTGAGTTCACTCAGGGCGTAGCAAGATGCATGGAACTATCCGTACTATCTCTTGCAACTCTTGCATCACGATGAAAATTGACTGGGTAAACACACAGTGGAGATAGATGAAACAAGACAACCTGGAGAATGAGGTATCAGTAACACTGCTGTCCGGAGCGATGGTTAGGTAAGACACATATGCAACAGTTAGGTATCTTTATTTCGAAACGTTTCGCCTACACAGTAGGCTTCTTCAGTCGAGTACAGAAAGGTTGATAGAAGCAGAAGATACTTGAAGACGATGTAATCAGTCCATCACCCTTAAAGTTTTGAGGTGGTCAGTCCCTCAGTCTGGAGAAGAGCATTGTTCCGTTGTCTGAAACAATATGAAGTTGAAGTGACAGAATGGGGCCTTTATATAGTGCCAGGAGGTGAGACGTAGGTTGCTTTGGGAGGGCAGGTCCTTCTCAAACCCAGCCGTTCTCACTAGTAGAGGTTGTCGAAGTGGTCCCGTACCAAGATACCCTTGTGTTGCAGTGTCTGACAGAATGAACATTAAAATGGTATGAAATACCGACAGATTGTTAGGTAAGACACATATGCAACAGTTAGGTATCTTTATTTCGAAACGTTTCGCCTACACAGTAGGCTTCTTCAGTCGAGTACAGAAAGGTTGATAGAAGCAGAAGATACTTGAAGACGATGTAATCAGTCCATCACCCTTAAAGTTTTGAGGTGGTCAGTCCCTCAGTCTGGAGAAGAGCATTGTTCCGTTGTCTGAAACAATATGAAGTTGAAGTGACAGAATGGGGCCTTTATATAGTGCCAGGAGGTGAGACGGCTGGGTTTGAGAAGGACCTGCCCTCCCAAAGCAACCTACGTCTCACCTCCTGGCACTATATAAAGGCCCCATTCTGTCACTTCAACTTCATATTGTTTCAGACAACGGAACAATGCTCTTCTCCAGACTGAGGGACTGACCACCTCAAAACTTTAAGGGTGATGGACTGATTACATCGTCTTCAAGTATCTTCTGCTTCTATCAACCTTTCTGTACTCGACTGAAGAATCCTACTGTGTAGGCGAAACGTTTCGAAATAAAGATACCTAACTGTTGCATATGTGTCTTACCTAACAATCTGTCGGTATTTCATACCATTTTAATGTTCATTCTGTCAGACACTGCAACACAAGGGTATCTTGGTACAGACCACTTCGACAACCTCTACTAGTGAGAACGGCTGGGTTTGAGAAGGACCTGCCCTCCCAAAGCAACCTACGTCTCACCTCCTGGCACTATATAAAGGCCCCATTCTGTCACTTCAACTTCATATTGTTTCAGACAACGGAACAATGCTCTTCTCCAGACTGAGGGACTGACCACCTCAAAACTTTAAGGGTGATGGACTGATTACATCGTCTTCAAGTATCTTCTGCTTCTATCAACCTTTCTGTACTCGACTGAAGAAGCCTACTGTGTAGGCGAAACGTTTCGAAATAAAGATACCTAACTGTTGCATATGTGTCTTACCTAACAATCTGTCGGTATTTCATACCATTTTAATGTTCATTCTGTCAGACACTGCAACACAAGGGTATCTTGGTACAGACCACTTCGACAACCTCTACTAGTGAGAACGGCTGGGTTTGAGAAGGACCTGCCCTCCCAAAGCAACCTACGTCTCACCTCCTGGCACTATATAAAGGCCCCATTCTGTCACTTCAACTTCATATTGTTTCAGACAACGGAACAATGCTCTTCTCCAGACTGAGGGACTGACCACCTCAAAACTTTAAGGGTGATGGACTGATTACATCGTCTTCAAGTATCTTCTGCTTCTATCAACCTTTCTGTACTCGACTGAAGAAGCCTACTGTGTAGGCGAAACGTTTCGAAATGAAGATACCTAACTGTTGCATATGTGTCTTACCTAACAATCTGTCGGTATTTCATTTTCATTATCATTTTCATTATCACACCGGCCGATTCCCACCAAGGCAGGGTGGCCCGAAAAAGAAAAACTTTCACCATCATTCACTCCATCACTGTCTTGCCAGAAGGGTGCTTTACACTACAGTTTTTAAACTGCAACATTAACACCCCTCCTTCAGAGTGCAGGCACTGTACTTCCCATCTCCAGGACTCAAGTCCGGCCTGCCGGTTTCCCTGAATCCCTTCATAAATGTTACTTTGCTCACACTCCAACAGCACGTCAAGTATTAAAAACCATTTGTCTCCATTCACTCCTATCAAACACGCTCACGCATGCCTGCTGGAAGTCCAAGCCCCTCGCACACAAAACCCTCCTTTACCCCCTCCCTCCAACCCTTCCTAGGCCGACCCCTACCCCGCCTTCCTTCCACTACAGACTGATACACTCTTGAAGTCATTCTGTTTCGCTCCATTCTCTCTACATGTCCGAACCACCTCAACAACCCTTCCTCAGCCCTCTGGACAACAGTTTGGTAATCCCGCACCTCCTCCTAAACTTCCAAACTACGAATTCTCTGCATTATATTCACACCACACATTGCCCTCAGACATGACATCTCCACTGCCTCCAGCCTTCTCCTCGCTGCAACATTCATCACCCACGCTTCACACCCATATAAGAGCGTTGGTAAAACTATACTCTCATACATTCCCCTCTTTGCCTCCAAGGACAAAGTTCTTTGTCTCCACAGACTCCTAAGTGCACCACTCACTCTTTTTCCCTCATCAATTCTATGATTCACCTCATCTTTCATAGACCCATCCGCTGACACGTCCACTCCCAAATATCTGAATACGTTCACCTCCTCCATACTCTCTCCCTCTCATTTTATTGTCCGGAGCGATATTGTTGACAGTTGCCCTTCCTAGATAATCCAGCAGTAAACAACATTTTAGCCAGTGGCCAACTCTGTCCACGTGATCACTGGGTGTGACCTACCTCTCTCTCTCTCTCTCTCTCTCTCTCTCTCTCTCTCTCTCTCTCTCTCTCTCACACACACACACACACACGTCTATCGACAAGTACCTTTGACAACTAGTAACTGCACACACACACACACACACACACACACTGCAAGACTGGTTTGTTTTGGCATTTTGTCGGTATTATACACTTTTGCGATATAAAGTAGATTTAATGGTAGTAGATCAACTGGAAGTAGAACAAGTGGTAGCAGACCAACTGGGAGAAGAATAAGTGGTAATAGACCAACTGGGAGAATAAGTGGTAATAGACCAACTGGGAGAAGAATAAGTGGTAATAGACCAACTGGGAGAATAAGTGGTAATAGACCAACTGGGAGAAGAATAAGTGGTAATAGACCAACTGGGAGAATAAGTGGTAATAGACCAACTGGGAGAAAAATAAGTGGTAATAGACCAACTGGGAGAATAAGTGGTAATAGACCAACTGGGAGAAGAATAAGTGGTAATAGACCAACTGGGAGAAGAATAAGTGGTAATAGACCAACTGGGAGAAGAATAAGTGGTAATAGACCAACTGGGAGAAGAATAAGTGGTAATAGACCAACTGGGAGAATAAGTGGTAATAGACCAACTGGGAGAAAAATAAGTGGTAATAGACCAACTGGGAGAATAAGTGGTAATAGACCAACTGGGAGAAGAATAAATGGTAATAGACCAACTGGGAGAAGAATAAGTGGTAATAGACCAACTGGGAGAAGAATAAGTGGTAATAGACCAACTGGGAGAAGAATAAGTGGTAATAGACCAACTGGGAGAAGAATAAGTGGTAGTAGATCGACTAGAATGTTACCTATCCAGTCTCTGTACTATAGTGCTTGTCTCTTCTTAAAACTGCCGGAATTATTCCTTTTCCTCGAATATTGAATAGGCCTGAATATTCATCTGGTTGTGAGAAATATTAAGTCATCGTCAGGCAGGAACTACCTGGAGGGTATTCCAGGGATCAACGTCCCCGCGGCCCGGTCCATGACCAGGCCTCCCGGCGGATCATGGACTGATCAACCAGGCTATTGCATAAGTCATCATCATGCAGGGAACTACTACCTTGTTCGAAATAATCATCTTTAAATAAACTACATGTCTACATAGTTCCCTGTGCATAGCATTAATATCAGTGTTCCCAGAGTATCAAAATATACATTAATAACATATAATACATCGAAAATATCATACTCATAACATTAATTACTATCATAACTACTACCATCGCTTTTATTATCACTTCCACTGCCACTTTTGCCTGTAAGATGCTCCACTCACCGGAGTCTTACACTTCCTCTCTTCTCATGCACTCAGTGTCCATGTATTTTATTATATGTATTGGCTTGACAAAACTTCTGGTGAGCGAAACATAACAGCAATAAATGTCTTATTAGTTGCGCATGTGTCCACTTGACTAATATGTCATTCATATATCTGCGCAGCCAGTGCGTGCTTTTTGACCCCTGCTTAACAACCTGCGCAATTCTTGACTGCTGGTTGCAACGTCTTCAGACCCCACTAACGTCACAGTTGACGTCAGTAGCTAGACGCAGCTGGGTAACTTGCAGAACTAGTTCCTAATCATGACGCCACCACAGTCTGGCTTCCGTCACTCACTCTGCTGGGCCCCATTAGTCTCCAGACATCTAAACATCTAAGGATCGAAAAAACACCGTAACATTACTCTGCCTAACCGTTTTTCAGATGTTCTGTCGTCAGCTTTTCAAACGTTTCTCGGCGCTCATGACATATGAGAGGTAACGTTGGTGATAAGAGAGAGAGATAGAGACAGAGAGAGTCGTGTCAAGCTACACGTACACACACGACCTCCTCCACCCCAGGAACCCCTAGCCCACCCCATTCAACTTCCATTATATTAGAGGTCCGGTGCTGGCAGCCTCAGTACCAGACAGACCAGCGCTCTCCTTGTACACCTCCAGTTCGAGCACACCTGCTGTGCATAGTTAAACGTATCCAAGTGAAGTGATTGCGACAGTGCCGAAGAAACTACGCTGCAAATCGAGTGTTCAAGTTGCTACATGAAGAATATATTAACATAAGCACCAGTTTCCATGATCCACAGGTGGTCGTCCAGGTAAGAAACACTGGAACTTTTACTATAAATAAAAATAACTTGTAAATACGAAGATATTCGTTACCCAGAAAATAGTTTTAACTTTCTTTTTTAATCAGCCCAGTGTAGTGCAATTTGAAATAATAAAAAAATTATTATTATTTATCATTCAGTTAGGCTAATACTGATCGGTCTGAATTTAAAGGAATTTCTGTTAACCCTTCTCAGGTTGGACTCAAATTTTGCCAGCAACAGAGGCAGCCGTCTCGCCAACTGTGGTAACTCACTGGAACTCAGCGTCCTCTCTCAGATCTACAGTGTACCTTGAGGTGAGTCTAACATAACTGGATGAAACAATGCTGACAATACGAATGAACCAAGGAAGTCCGATGACTCATTGCTAGTATTAAAAGTTATCTGAATCAATATGTCATGGCTTATTATCGCCTAACATGGCATGCAGTATTAAATTTACTCAGTATTTTGCTATGCTTACAAACATGACACTCATTATACAAAAAATTTAATGGCATTCACTAATTTAGAAGAGTATTTTTAATGTGCTTTCTGTACAGTAAGATAAATTAATCTAATTTCCATCTTCCACAGAACAACTGGCTATCCTCCTAAGTGAACAATCTTCTGTAATTCTCCTCTTTAAGTAAAGGTTAATACCTTTCTCGGGAGTGAAATCCTGATCTCAAAAGCCAGTTCATATATATACTGTATATATCCACTTGTGTGTGCGATATTCCACTTCTTGACTACCACACTTCGTGACTCAGAGTTTGATACCCATCACTCTTGCCACCCACGACTACTAGCCTTTGTTACTACTACCACAACCGTCACCAAGATGGTTCAGGAACTGCACACCGCCAGCAGCTGCATCGCTGACCCCGAGGCCAGGTGAGTCAGCGTCGCGTAAAAACAAGAGCGCTATAGTAGACTTACTCAGTTCAACCATTCCTAAAGTAGACGAACTCAAACCCAGCCAATCCCATAGTAGACCTACTCAAGCCCAACCAGTCCTATGTGTGCATCTGCCTAACCTATTTTAAAACCATCTGACGTGTTTACTTCCACGGTTGTACTTTGTATTTCATCTCGTCTATTAAAAACAAACTTTCTATATCCTTTCATTTGACACTGTTAAATTTTCTTGCATCGTTGCTATGAGCATTTTTTTTAGATAATTTGCCTCATCTTTTCTTTAAAGTTCTAAATTCTGTTTGTATTTTTTTCCGTCAGTCTGTCGAATTTTTTCGTAAGTGATATCAATAAGCTCTTTTTTATTTATTTTTTTTAAATTAGATAGAAAATTTATTTGTGAAATCGGAATTAAGCACTAAAATATATCCATTTTGCCTTTTTTCACTCTTCCTTACAGAAAGAGCACCTACAAGGTCATGGAGATGGGCGCCTATGGTCACAGCAGCGCCACCAAGAGAACGAGTGCGGGCGTCACCAAGACTAAGAGCAACACGGTCCAGAAGGACGTGTGGGGACCCGTGTTCCAGAATAAACAACACTTTGTTGACATGCACATCTGCTAGGACACACTCACTGCCTGTGCGTGACTTGCCATGCACAGCTTTAGCAACTACATACCTCCTGCTCCTGGCTAGTCTGGGACATGCACATCTGCAAGGACTCACCCACTGCCTGTGCAGGACTTGCCATGCACAGCTTACCAACTACATACCTCCTGCTCCTGGCTAGTCTGGGACATGCACATCTGCTAGGACACACCCACTGGCTGTGCATGACTTGCACAGGCACTGCCTGGGCATGGCTTACTATGCACATCTTTAGCAACTACATACCTCCTGCTCCTGGCTAGTCTGGGACATGCACATCTGCAAGGACTCACCCACTGCCTGTGCATGACTTACCATGCACAGCTTTAGCAACTACACACCTCTTGCCCCTGGCTAGTTTGGGACAGCAGATCTGATAGAACATGTCCATCATTTTTTTTTCATGTCTTGATGTGAATCCCGTTTGGAATGTGCCATATTTTCCGGGACCTGTGCCACTAACACCCAGGGGCCTGGGCATCGAACAAGAGATCTTTCGTTTGTTATCTAAAGGCTGAGCAGCAAGTCACCCTGACAAGTTATAGATATGTGTGTCTACATCAGCCTTGATCACCTGCCTCTGACTAGCCATATAAACATCGTCTTTTTGTTTGACCAGTTATTACTGCCAGTACTTTGAATTTACTATAAATTCCAGGGGCAGCAATACAAACACACACACTATATATATATATATATATATATATATATATATATATATATATATATATATATATATATTACATATATATATATATATATATATATATATATATATAAAATATATATATATATATATATATATATAATATATATATATATATATTATATATAGTGTAATATGCATTCATTCTCAGCATTTCACCATTTTTTTTTCATATTCCCATCAAGTTTGACATGACTCACTCATCAACATTTATATCTCAGGATATGGAGATATTACTCATTAAAAATTATTTATTTTTTTTATGGTCACTTTTTAATAAACTTTAAGTTATATTTCTATTATTTTTCCCTTATTTTACACTGAATGCAAAAGCCGAATATGTACTGTGATAAATGTAAGAGCAGAGTAATGAAGAAACACGAAGCAGTCACTCTGAGAGCTCTGGTTACTGTGGCACTGGCCAGGATACGTATATACACCAAGAGGTATATATCTCTCTCGATGCATATACTCTGAGAGATTACTGTAATCTCCCTTTTTCAAGGATTACAGTATTCTTGACTGGTGGTGAATAGGTTACCCGTAGCTTTGATGACCTTCGTGTAGTAGAAGTCTATTTTCATTGAACTCCATTTAACCAATCGACTATTGGCCACAATACTCTTATTTCTCTTATTGCAGGGGGGGGGGGCGTGGCTTGATGCCGTGGAGGGAGTCTTCAGACATAGAATTTGACTCATCCTTCCCTTCCTTGGATCGAACCTGACGGCATCTCATTCTACAAGTGCTCTATGACCCCTAACGGCTTAGCGCTTCCCAGAAGTAAAAAATCTAATAGATTATGAATATCTAGAAGAACAAAAGAGCACAATACTGTGACTGAAACAAAACACAAATAACCAGTACAAAGAGAGAAAAGCTTATGATGATGTTTCGACTTGTGCAAGTCTGGCCGAAACGTCGTCATAAGCTTTTCTGTCTCCTATGTCTGATGATGTCTCACGTATCCTTGGTAGAAATGAATCTGCTTGATCCACATCCTTAAGGTCGCGTCATCTTTCCTGTCATATTTTTTCCCCTTTGGATTTCAGTGTACAATGGGCAATGGAGTTTCAGAGGGAATAGAGAAAATCGGTAACATTTTCATATGTTGACGTCCCTCTTTCCCCAGAATGTAATTGTTAGTTTTACAGGAAACTAATCTAAATCATACAGTCTTTCTGGTTAAGTCCTCATATCTGATGACTCGTCCTCTAATCTCATACAATAAAAGTGTGCTTCTTGTGTATGCTAATGTTCCGTACACTAGACTTTAGGTCCAAATATATATACAATATTATGTGGTCTAAATTTATTACGTATGTGAAATGTAGTTTGTTCCTTACACTTGATCTCTTCATGTCACTCGTCGTGAACAATCTGCAGTTCTTGGTTGTCTCCTTACATGAACCATTCTGCAGTTAGGTGATTTGTTTGGCATCGTCTATGGGGCGGGTTTCATTGTCTCATAGTTATCTGTTAATCTCACTGGTAGATTAACCCATGGGAAGCCTTGAACTCGCTTTCATTCTAGTATTGAGCTCTCGAGTATGTCCTTACATGCGAGTTCCTTCAGTTCAGTTCATTTTTTTTGGAATTCAATTCATTCTAGGGGAGATAGCCGTGGTGACTGCACCTTTTTCGCTCTCAAGAACTCTTCGGAGACAGAGAGCAGCAGCACGTGACCATTAAAATGCCCTTCAAAAATGCCCTGTTAATGCTTTACAATGCCTTGCGGTTGAGTTTAGCCCGACTCTTTTCCTTGTTCTTTAAACTTTTCCTCTTCCCCCACACCTTCTTCAACTATTCCCACTTCCCCCTCGCCCCTAGTGGGTCCTTACCTGTGAATCCTTTCAGTTTAGCTCAGCTCTCGATGTGTTCGTCTTCTGTTCTAGAATTTTTACGGCTAGTAGGAAACGATCTCCACGCCATCGTCATCACTTCTTCAAACCTTGCTTCTCCCCAAGGAGAGGTTCATCATGCATTCCTTTTACACCCGAGTCTGCACTGGTTTGACTATATTTTACCACTTCAGAGGGAAAAGCGCACGAATTAATATTTTTTTTCGGTAATCAGGTGCATCGCCAACCAGTCATTGAAGGATCTGACACAGATCCCCTAAAAAAATTTAGTTATTAATCATGAGGGTTAGTCATTAACACTCAGAAGGGTTAATCATCAATCCTAATAATTATAAAATTAATAACAATTAGCAATTATTAACCCTGGAGGGTTAAAAAATCCTGGGGAACTCAAGCAATGAGACCTCTTTCCTTTAGGATCCTTCGGGTCCGCTCATCTAGGATGCGACCCTCAACAACACACTAACTCCTTCCTGTCTTTTTGTTACAAGGTGAACAACTGCAGCATTTGTTAAGATTTATTATGTCTTGCATGACTTAGGAGATGAACCTGGGCTGTTTCTTTTATGAACCCAACGCTCTATCTGTGACTTACGCAAAAGTTTTGAAATACACATCGTAACTAATTCCTGTAGGAGCGTCAAAATAGCATGCATTAATAATATAACGCCTAACCGAGAACATTTTATTCATTAAATTACGCATTTGCAGTTCAGTCTTTGATCCTCCATTACAATACTGGCGCAACACCTCCATACACTAACGTCACATAATAGCTAGACGCAGCTGGGGAATATACATAACCAGTTCCCCGAATATGACTCACAGTCTGGCTTTCGTCACAAATACAATAACTTCAAAGAAATTTCCGGATACGCAAAGTTCGGCAGGACAAAGAGTACTATTATATTATGGCTATCTTTGTTCTTCCAGACTTTTTATCGTCAGTTTTTCAAACATTTCTCGCCGCTAACAACGTATGAGACTGAAACTCGGCGTTGACGGCGCATGAGGTAATGTTGGTGATAGAAAGTCGTGTCAAGCTACACGTACACACACGACCTCCTCCATCCCAGGAACCCCTAGCCCGCCCCATTCAACTTCCAATATATTAGAGGTCCGGTGCTGGCAGCCTCAGTACCAGACAGACCAGCGCACTCGTTGTACACCTCCAGTTCGTGCACACCTGCCGTGACAGTGCTGAAGAAATTACGCTACAAATTGAGCGCTTAAGTTATTACAAGAAGAATACATTCCCAAAATCATTATTGTTTTGTGATCTATAGGTAAGAGACACTGGAACTTTTATTATGCAAAAATATATTGTACTTTGTACAGCACATAAGAAGACATTGACTAAAATATATATAATCGTAAATGCATATATTTTAATCAGGTAACTATATTGTATTTTAACTTATTATATTCTACAGCGGTACTTTATTTTGCCTTCACCAAAATGTGACAGGGATATATTTCATAATAATTTGGCTTCATTAAAATTCCTGTTAATTATTTTGAATTTAAACAAAAAAATTTGTTCCTTCTCAGACTGGACTCAAATTTTTCCAGTCTGTTATGAATTTAATCAATCTATGCTGTCTCATTAGTCTCATCTTTGCCTTGTTTAGCATGCGATGCTGGATTTATCAACACTGGTGAACTTAAAATGTAACTTAATTATCATACAAAATTGATTGAATTGTACTGATTTAAATGTCTAATGTGTTTTGTGTTAATGATGATAATTTCACAATCTCTTCTCTTCCGCAGAACAAACTGGCAGTGTCATCATTGATTCAACAGTGTTAAAACCCGTTACGCATTATAGGTAAATTACCTTTACCTGAGTGATAGTCCTCGTCTTGAGGCTCGAAGTTTGAGACCCTCCACCTACTAGCACCACTAGCACTACTACCTACTAGCCTGTTACTATCACCACCAACCAAGATGGTTCAGGAACATGTGTACACTGCAAGCAGCAGCAGCATCGCTGACCCTGAGGCCAGGTGAGTCAGCTTCTCATAAAACAAAACCATGTAGACGTACTCGAACCCGACCATTCACGACTCACACCACGGAACGAATAGGGGTTAGGGGTTGAACTCACGGTAAATGAGTCGTAAAACTCTAGGCCATTCACACCTGTGGATCTGTGTAGCCTGTTTTTCAAATCCTTTTAGCTGTATATGGTTGTTCCACTTGTCTATACAATTTGTTGTGAATATTAGCTTTCTTATATACTTTCCAATTTTAAATTTCTCAGATTTAAATACATATTAGAGTTCTTTTTTGGTTGGATATTTTAGCATATTTGCATCCATTTTTACTGCCTATTATCTGTGTTTACTTGTGCTTACCACATTATAGATTTTACTGAAGACATACATCTTTTAACATTAAATTTAAACATGCTTTTAATATCAAGTTCTAATAAAAATTTATTCATATTGTATATTTCTCTCTTCCTCACAGAAAGAGCACCTACAAGGTCATGGAGATGGGCGCCTACAGTCACAGCAGCGCCACCAAGAGAACGAGTGCGGACGTCACAAAGACTAAGAACAACACGGTCCAGAAGGACGTGTGGGGACCCGTGTTCCAGAATAAACAACACTTTGTTGACATGCACATCTGCTAGGATACGCCCACTGCCTGTGCATGACTTGCTATGCACAAATCTAAGGACTACATATCTCCTGCCCCTGGCTAGTCTGGGACATGCAGATCTCATAACACATGCCCACTGCCTGTGCATGAGGACAGGCACTTCCAGGAATACAAACCTTTCTCGGACTAGTCTTGGACATGCGCATCCAGGACACACCCACCGCCTGCACATGTCTTGATCTGAATCTTTCCAGCAGGTCTGGAGTTTACAGTTTTTTCCCATGTGATGCACTGCAGTCAACTAACACCCAGGTGCCTGTTTGTTGCTAGGTGAACAGAGGCATCATACGTCTCTCACGCCTGGACATCAGACAAGGAAACTTTCATGCGTGATCCACAGGCTCCGACCGCTGAGCTTCAAGTCACTGTGGCTAGTCATAGACATGTCTACTTCAGCCATGCATCACCTGCCTCTGGCCAGTTATATAAACATGTATTCTTTGCTTGATCATTGTTATTGCCAATACTAAGTATTGTATTTATTATGATCTCCAAGGCCAGCTGTTATTTTGTTTTGTAATAAACATCTTTTCATAACATTTCAAGTTCATTTCTGTAAATATTTTTTATATTCAACCGAGTCATTACCACACTTCATAACATCACATGATTTTTTATATAACACATTAAGAAAATGTCACATAGCTTATATGCCTTACTGTTTTCAGTAAATTTTGTAATAAATTTTTTATTACTATTAGTCTCTCTTTGTTTACATTGAATACAGTGACTAACAGAATCATGCTAAGTGATAAACCCGAAAAGGTCATGCGGCGCTACAGTGGATGCAGAAATTCTTAATATACTGTCTGATAAATGTACCATTTTGCAATGAACGGTAATACCATAGCACACTCATTGCGTGACCCAAATGGGTTTGACGCTTTCCCGTGAACATGAGTGTTGGTTAATGTGGAGCTGGTCGATTCACCACTAATTCGGTAACTCACCAAGAGGTGTATATCTCTCAGAGTATATTACCTGAGAGTGTAATTCCTACTTTAGGGATTAAAGTTTTCTTGAATGGTGAAGAGGTGACCTCCAACTTTCATGACCTTCGTGTAGTCGAAACACCACTGATTTGGTTTTGGCCAAGACACTCCAGTAATACAATGATACCCTTATTTCTTCAATAAAGGAAGCTACGTGTGCGTGCGTGTGTGTACTCACCTAATTGTGGTTGCAGGGGTCGATTCATAGCTCCTGGCCCCTCTTCAATGGTCACCACTAGATCCCCTCTCTTCCTGCTCCATGAACTTTTTGTGTCTGCGTCTGCTAATGTCTAGTGGCAGCAGAGTTCTGGAGATGCCTCTCCAGAAGTCTGCTGCCACTACTGCGGAAGCTCCCGTGTCCTCGTCCTCTGTTGAAATCCTAGGTAGAAGTGTGCATCCAGCCACTGCCTCCTGTCTAACCTTTTTTTTTTTTTTATTAATAACTCTTTCTTTAAATCGCTTCTTATTTTTCCTTTATTGCTTTTAATTAATAATACAAAGGACTCTCGGGGAACAGCGAAATTTCAGATGTTGATCTCTCAGCTTTTCCCTGTATGTACTTTACCAAAGAGTACAAACTTCATCACTAACTTAACTACAGTGACAGTTATATTTTTCTGATTGCGCATCTACTCTTTCTATACTTGATGAAGAGTTTCGTTTCTTGTCGATAACTGTTAATCAAAAGTTTGGGTTCCATCTAGTAATTCTTCATATCTCTGTTATCTTATTCGTTTCCATAGTCTTCATAATCCCACGAAGTGCAGAACTCTCACAGACGTTATTAAAGCCAACAGTTTCAGTCATCGCCCCTCTTCCCTTTATTGCGTCTCGTCAGTCTGTTCCTAAAGAACCGTGTAAGTCTCTCTTAGTATGTTTCTTCTTCCTATCTATTCTACTCTTGGAAAATTTCCGGAATCCAAGTTTGCCCATCATCCCTTCCGCTCTGCAATCTCTCTTCTCTGCTACTGACTCGCTCAATGCATTCCTTGATTATTCTTAAAATCCCTTGATGGACCTGGATCTGCTGCTGTTTTTTTCTGATTGTATTATTCCAGGACGATTGTCACAATTAGCTACTATTGTCACAGCAGTTGTATTCATTTATATGCTACGTATTTGTCTTATTATTTGCTGCAATCTAAGAGTTTTAACGCACAATGCAAGAGATCTAAACATAATTCGTCATATCCCCTTGTCCTTCATATTCAACGCTAGCCATGTTGCATCTTCAGCAGACACAAGAATGTGATCTTCTGTAGAGTCTGCTTATTCTGGTGACCAGGGTAATGAACTTGTAAACTAGATTGTATTTTAAGTAATTCACGACCTTCCAACCTCCTGAAGGTGGCTGTCGTATTCTAGAAGATTACTGGCCCATACAATCTTCATACGGGCGTCCTGAAATGCTTACTTTTCAATTCCTTCTGAAAGTCTCATATTCAGATAAAAACTCATATGAGAATCTATATTAACTAAAACTTATCTACTGCACCAATTCTCACTTTCTCTTTTCGCTCTTGTACTCGCCCTCAACACTCTTTTGTTTCACACTAATATCAGAAACCCATATGTCATCCATTGCCGCAATGCAGAATGTTTAGTTGCTGTTTTAATAAACAGTAACAACGGTAATTTACAAGACAGCACCCATGCAGACTCCAGGGCCGGAACGCCCGGCTCAAAAAGAAAAAAAAAATGGCTGGATTCCGGTATCTTGCGTCTTCCAGACAAACCGTGAGGCGCTGCACGTAGCCAGGATTCCGCCACCTCTCCGGTGCACGTAGCCAGGATTCCGCCACCTCTCCGGTGCACGTAGCCAGGGTTCTACCATCTTTCCGGTGCACGTAGCCAGGATTCTACCACCTCTCCTGTGCACGTAGCCGTGATTCTATCATCTCTCCGGTGCACGTAGCCAGGATTTCACCACCACTGGTGCACGTAGCTATCGTTCTATCAGCTCTCCAGTGCACGTAGCCAGGATTCTACTACCTCTCAGGTGCACGTACCCAGGATTCTACCACCTCTCCGGTGCATATAGAAAATCCACCACCTCTCCGGTGCACTTAACCACGACTGCTGACCTCCACGATATACACCTGTCATGGGTTAAGCTTAATGAAAGTAGCCTACATTAAACCAGTTACGAACATTATTGCCCATTTGTCATAGAATTCTCATTGTCCTGGCCGGACAACCATCTTTTTTACCTTCCTCAGTACCATTGCCTACCTGCCCTGAGGTCTCTCTCGCCAGACTGCCCCGAGACTTCCTACCTACCAGCCCAGGACTCCTCTCTTGTTATCCTTCTCCAGAACCCTGGACCATCTGCCCCGGGACTCCTCTTGTAATGTCCCAAGGACTCCCGTCTCAGTTACCTGCAGTAGTCTTCTGTTTACCAGAAATAAACATCTTTCTGCTGCTATTGATGGAGTCTCACTCGCTCAAAACGCAATGTAAGAGATTCTGATAACTGATTCTTCATGTCTCCTCTTTTTTTTTTTTTACTGTTCAATATTTGCGAGAATGCTGGACACACTGCTAGAGGAGCAAAAACCTGGACACACAACTAGAAAAAAAAGGTTATAATAACCATTAATTTTTAAATTGGTGGACCAGTAATCATCATATGATTAAGACCCGCGTCAGGAAACACTTGTGCTGCTTCCTGGCAAACCTTACCTAACCTAACCACTAGAAAGTGGCCGTTTTCATTAGAACGAACGAACGAAGGGACTCACGGGTAAGGGGAAAGTAGGGATATAGAAGAATTGATAGATGGGTCGGTCGTTCAGTGATGGTAGGAATAATAGTTCCAGCAGGATGAGACATGGGCAAAACGTTCTGGTTCTATGTGTCGTGGATGAATATGGTATTAGATGGCTAGGTTACCAGAAAGCTCTTTGGTAGCCATATCGATGTTGTGTGAGTTTGACCAATGAAGAAGCGTTTGAAATTTTGGTTATGTTGTCAATCGAGGCCCAGGTGTTTTGTTCCTCGACAGAGGTCTTCAGGTCAGCAGTTGATAGGGATGTAATGATCTTGTCCATCCGTTTGACAAAAACAGAAAGTTTCGCCAGCAGGACAGGTGAAGGAGAGACATTGAATGGAGTGTCTCCATTGCGGTGTAAGATAAGATAAGATAAGATTTCGTTCGGATTTTTAACCCCGGAGGGTTAGCCACCCAGGATAACCCAAGAAAGTCAGTGCGTCATCGAGGACTGTCTAACCTATTTCCATTGGGGTCCTTAATCTTGTCCCCCAGGATGCGACCCACACCAGTCGACTAACACCCAGGTACCTATTTGCTGCTAGGTGAACAGGACAACAGGTGAAAGGAAACGTGTCGAAATGTTTCCACCCGCCGGAATCGAACCCGGGCCCTCCGTGTGTGAAGCGGGAGCTTTAGCCACCAGGCCACCGGGCCTGAATTTTGATGCTTCACTGTCGTCAGTATAGACGACAATAAAGGAATTTGACCAACAAGAAGGTTCTTGCAGCAGCAGCAAGGGCTAGTTTGGTGGAGTCATTTAAGACTCCACTACCAGTGATGGTGTATAGGTTAAAAATTCCCCTCCCAACGGGGATCGAAGGGAAACTTCCTGAGGTAGAGCGACTGTGACTTGCCAATAACAAGGTCAGCAGTGGTATCCAACACTATATTTACATTACGTTATATATACATTATTAGTATTATTACACTACGTTTTATAAACCCTATTTTATTATTAAATTTTTAAACCAGGAAAATTCTGAAATTTTCCACACCCATTATAGTCACTGAAATTGCTATAACCACCACCATAGTTGCTATAATCACCACTATACTCACTGTAATAATAATTATAGTCACTATAATCACAACAGCCGGTACAGTCACCACCAAAGCCAGTTTAAACTCCTTTATAACCGTTTAATTCCGATTGTCGGTTCAGTTATCATCCAGGATTCTCCGATCAATAATTTCTACACCGACAATGATAATTAGGTTTGATTATAGTCATGTAATGAGTAGGCAACGAACCCAGGGGGTAATTCTGATAATTAGCGCTAATCCGCTAATCAAGTCGTCAGGGGACTTAACTCTCTCTTTAACAGGCATCCACTAGCCTTAATAACTGAAATTTGCCCTCCACTTCCTCGGATCAAACCTTACTGTTTTCCACACACCCATGTCTCTTAAGGGTCATGGGTGTGTGGAAATAATAATAATTATAATAATTATAATAATTATAATAATAATTACAATAATAGGTTCGTTGATTAGTGGGGTTTAAATTATTATAATCATAACTAAGCGCTAAACCCATATGGGCCATAAAGCAATGGAGTTTAAATCCTATCGACCATACAAAGATCATTAAGCTGCAGGAATACTTCAATGCCTAAAATAGGGATTAAACTATCAGCATACAGTATATAAGCCGATGATGATGATGATAATAATAATAATAATAATAATAATAATAATAGTAATAATAATAATAATAATAATAATAATAATAATAATAATAATAATAATAATAATAATACTAATATTAATAATAATAACAATAATAATAACAATAATAATAATAACAATACTACTATATTATATTTGCATTCTTTCCTGCTAACTTGTTCTTGTTATAGCTACAGGAAGTATAGCGGCTGGTTGTCATAGCAACAAGTAAAGTTGCCAGTACATATATATTTACCTGCACTAATATTTTTTTTTTTTTTGTCTCTCGAAAGCAAGCGATAAAAACTTGAATCAAAATTACGTGAATGGGGAAAAAAAATGATACTTTTTTTTTTCCTAATTTTAAATTTTGGTATGAATTTTTGTGGTATTGTATTAGCCATCTGGAGGTAAATTGGAACCCGGTACAGTAACAATTGTCCCAGACAGGACAGTTATACTCAAGTCTAGTCACTTAGATATATTGTTGGGGGCCATGTCAGGAATGCTTTTAGCTATAAATGATTCCCAAGAGAATTCGTCACAAGATAACGTTATCACAAAGGTAGTAACAAACTCTAATGTATAGTTGAAATTATGGCTGCTCCGTTGCTTTAAAAGGGTTCAGGTGGTCTTACCAGGTGTGGATAATAATAACCAGGTGTAACACCTGTGTGCATGTGTTGTCGACGTGGGACCTGTGTATTGAGGAGTGCATTGTGAGTTACAAGTGGACCTGACGGAGGCTGTTGCGGATTTCCTTGTACACTGCAAGTAACCTTGTGAGTAAAGTGCCAACGTTGCAGTGAGCGGCTGCCATGACCTATAAGACGTACAAGGTGAGCACATGAACCATTTGTACGTAAAGTACTCACCTCGTAAAGGTATTCGTGGGTCATACACCATAACACACGAGGGAGATTCTCAAACACATACCTGTGAAATCTACCAGCCGGTGCTGAGAGCTCAGTACGGCGATGATGAGATCGTCAAACATTCCACTATCAACTGAGTAACTACAGGAGATTTAATTTCTTTCCAGCAAGGCTGGAGCTACATATACATGGGAATGTTGTTTTGGAAGGCATATATATCTCCAACATATTTAGTGGAAAGAATGAGGACGTGGCTTGTCTTGCTTGTCTGTGTCGTGCCGAATAGGTAAAATTGGTCAATTAACAAGAACTTATTTAAAATTAAGTCTTTTCTAAAATTTTCTCTTATACGTTTAGATATATATTTTATCATTTATGTAAATGTAAAAATTTATAATTTTGTACCAAAAGAACTTTAGAAAACTTATCAAATCTTATTATAACAAGCGCAATTTAATTTAGCCTAATCCAGCTATATATATTTTATATAAGTTTACAATACTTTAATAATAAACACAATGAAATATATTGTTTTCGTTAGTTTCGGAATGACTTTTGCGATCGGCACCATGCCTAACCCTTCTAGGGTAGGGTAGGTGCCTGAGCCCGAGCCTTTAGCTCATAAGACTGTCATTCCCATTAGCCCCCTTTGTGGCGGGGATGGCAGACCAGAGAGGCCTAGCTTGTGGCTAGGCGTGGGGACAGTTGGTCCCAAAGATGAGGAGGTACTTGTGCCTCCTCCCATGGGAGACTTAGGTCTCAGACACTCCCTAAAGAGGGAGCCAAGGCCGGGCCACCACTTGGACAAAGCCCGGGCCGGGAGAATACCGGCTAATCTTTAATAATAATAATAATAAATGACTTTTGCGATCGACACCATGCCTAACCCTTCTAGGGTAGGGTAGGTGCCTGAGCCCGAGCCTTTAGCTCATAAGACTGTCATTCCCATTAGCCCCCTTGGGGCGGGGATGGCAGACCAGAGAGACCTAGCTTGTGGCTAGGCCTGGGGACAGTTGGTCCCAAAGATGAGGAGGTAATTGTGCCTCCTCCCATGGGAGACTTAGGTCTCAGACACTCCCTAAAGAGGGAGCCAAGGCCGGGCAACCACTTGGAAAAGGCCCGGGCCGGGAGAATACCGGCTAATCTTTAATAATAATAATAATAATAATGACTTTTGCGCAATTATTGCATACACAAATTTTCGCTTGCCTTATTCGGCAAGAAGAGCGTTGCTATTTAAGCCAAAATCGCAAGTTTTACCTATTCGGCACATTATATTATATATTATAATTATAAATATATATATATAATATATATATATATATATATATATATATATATATATATTATATATATATATATTATATATATATATATATATATAAATAAATTGTCGTGCCAAATAGGCAGAACTTGCGATCTTGGCTTAAATAGCAACTCTCATCTTGCCATATAGGACAAGTGAAAATTTGTGTATGCAATAATTTCACCAAAATCATTCTGAACCTACCGAAAAAAATATATTTCACTGTGTTTGTTTAGTATTAAATTATTGTAAACAAATCTAAAATATATTTAGTTGGGTTAGGCTAAAATAAATTGCTCTTGTTATAATAAGGTTAGGTAAGTTTTCTAAGATTATTTTGGTGCAAAATTAATTTTTTTTACATTAACATTAATAAAAAAATATATCATTAAACGCATAAGAGAAAATTTCAGAAAGGACTTAATTTTAAATGAGTTCTTGCTAATTGACCAGTTTTACATATTCAGCATATATATATATATTATATATATATATATATATATATATATATATATATATATATATATATATATATATATATATATATATATATTTTTTTTTTTTTTTTTCAACAAGTCGGTCGTCTCCCACCGAGGCAGGGTGACCCACAAAAAAGAAAGAAAATCCCCAAAAAGAAAATACTTTCATCATCATTCAACACTTTCACCACACTCACACATTATCACTGCTTTTGCAGAGGTGCTCAGAATATAACAGTTTAGAAGCATATACGTATAGAGATACACAACATATCCCTCCAAACTGCCAATATCCCAAACCCCTCCTTTAAAGTGCAGGCATTGTACTTCCTATTTCCAGGACTCAAGTCCGACTATATGAAAATAACCGGTTTCCCTGAATCCCTTCACTAAATATTACCCTGCTCACACTCCAACAGATCGTCAGGTCCCAAGTATCATTCGTCTCCATTCACTCCTATCTAACACGCTCATGCACGCTTGCTGGAAGTCCAAGCCCTCGCCCACAAAACCTCCTTTACCCCCTCTTTCCAACCCTTTCGAGGACGACCCCTACCCCTCTTTCCTTCCCCTATAGATTTATATGCTTTCCATGTCATTCTACTTTGATCCATTCTCTCTAAATGACCAAACCACCTCAACAACCCCTCTTCTGCCCTCTGACTAATGCTTTTATTAACTCCACACCTTCTCCTAATTTCCACACTCCGAATTTTCTGCATAATATTTACACCACACATTGCCCTTAGACAGGACATCTCCACTGCCTCCAACCGTCTCCTCGCTGCTGCATTTACCACCCAAGCTTCACATCCATATAAGAGTGTTGGTACTACTATACTTTCATACATTCCCTTCTTTGCCTCCATAGATAACGTTTTTGACTCCACATATACCTCAACGCACCACTCACCTTTTTTCCCTCATCAATTCTATGATTCACCTCATCCTTCATAAATCCATCCGCCGACACGTCAACTCCCAAGTATCTGAAAACATTCACTTCTTCCATACTCCTCCTCCCCAATTTGATATCCAATTTTTCTTTATCTAAATCATTTGATACCCTCATCACTTTACTCTTTTCTATGTTCACTTTCAACTTTCTACCTTTACACACATTCTCAAACTCATCCACTAACTATATATATATATATATATATATATATATATATATATATATATATATATATATATATATATATATATATATTATATATATATATATATATATATAATTTATATATATATATATATATATATATATATATATATATATATATATATATATATATATATATTAATATATATATATATATTAATATATATATATATATTAATATATATATAATGTCGTGCCGAATAGGCAGAACTTGCGATCTTGGCTTAAATAGCAACGCTCATCTTGCCATATAAGACAAGTGAAAATTTGTGTTTACCTGGAGTTTACCTGGAGAGAGTTCCGGGGGTCAACGCCCCCGCGGCCCGGTCTGTGACCAGGCCTCCTGGTGGATCAGAGCCTGATCAACCAGGCTGTTGCTGCTGGCTGCATGCAAACCAACCTACGAGCCACAGCCCGGCTGGTCAGGAACCGACTTTAGGTGCTTGTCCAGTGCCAGCTTGAAGACTGCCAGGGGTCTGTTGGTAATCCCCCTTATGTATGCTGGGAGGCAGTTGAACAGTCTCGGGCCCCTGACACTTATTGTATTGTCTCTTAACGTGCTAGTGTCACCCCTGCTTTTCATTGGGGGGATGTTGCATCGTCTGCCAAGTCTTTTGCTTTCGTAGTGAGTGATTTTCGTGTGCAAGTTCGGTACTAGTCCCTCTAGGATTTTCCAGGTGTATATAATCATGTATCTCTCCCGCCTGCGTTCCAGGGAATACAGGTTCAGGAACCTCAAGCGCTCCCAGTAATTGAGGTGTTTTATCTCAGTTGTGCGCGCCGTGAAGGCTCTCTGTACCACTCACTTATTTATCCATACCTCACCTATGCTATTTGTGCTTGGGGATCAACAGCAGCAACACACCTAAAGCCAATAATAACCCAACAAAAAGCTGCAGTAAGAATAATCACTAAATCCCATCCCTGGCAGCACACCCCCCCACTCTTCAAAGATCTAAACTTACTCCCAGTTCAGTACATCCACACTTACTACTGTGCAATCTATATCTACAGGGCCTTAAACTCTAATATCAACCTTGACCTTAAACGCTTTCTTGATAGTTGTGACAGAACCCACAGGCATAACACCAGAAACAAACATCTCTACGACATTCCCCGTGTCCGACTAAACCTTTACAAAAATTCAATGTATGTCAAAGGCCCTAAAATCTGGAATACCCTACCTGAGAACTCTAGAAATGCAGACACATTCATCACCTTCAAAACTACCATTAGAAAACATCTTATCTCCCTGATACACCCCGTCAACTAACTTCACGAAAACCACCTGGTGGTTCACACTCGCACACTCATTTGACCATGAACAGAAATATTAATCTCAGTCTTAATATAATGAATCCTGTGATACTCCAATACTGAAACTATATACTGTGCCAAAACAAAAGCATTCACACTGCTAAACTCACAAAATAGTATTTAGTCACTTAACCATAATACCAACTTGCCTCATAATTTGTAATATTTTACATTTAAGAATAAAACTAAGTATGCCCGAAATGCCTAGCCATGCTAAGCGTTCTAGTGGTACACTCTGTAATCTCAATTTTACTGCATGTTAAACCAAACAATAACCAAATTTCTGTAAACTCAGCATTGTAATCCTTATAGAGAATAAACTTTGAATTTGAATTTGAATTTGAATTCTAGGTCGGCAATTTCACCTCCCCTTAAAAGGGTTTGGCTGTTTAGGGGTGCAGCAATATTCCAGCCTGGAAAAGAAAA